AAATACCATATATCACAATGCCAGTGGTGGTTGTATTAATGAAAGAATAATGAATATCTTTATCTCACTTCCAAAATTTTGTAATGTAGTTATATTACTCAATTTTATGGTGGCGGATATTTTGGAGAAAAATCAGGAGTACTTGACTATAGTACTTGTAGGCTTTATTTCTATGTGAATATGAAATTTTTAAAAAAATTCTGTGTATTGATAATTAGCTATTAGGTACTGTATTGAATCCATTGCATAAATTTTCTCATATAATCCTTTCTGTGACTTTTTAAAGTTTGCACTGTTATTATTTGTAGTTAGTATTGGAACCGGAATTCCAACAGGTCTGTCTAACTAAAAACAGTCCTCTTAATTTGCACTCTCATGGTTTCAACCACAGGTAAGAATCAACTTAGTAACCTGTTTTTCTTGGATCTGCCCTTGAAAGGTTCACATTCAATAGATGATCTGCATTTTAAATGAATGAGCTAGATGGACCACGCTTTGAGGAGTAAACACTGTCCTGTACTCGTTTCTGTTAGATTACGCAAGTAACAGCTAGTTGACTTGCTGGAAGGAAAGATGAGAAATCAGTTTGTTTTTTTCTTTTAAATCTTAATAGCATTATGAGCTAAGGAATTTAGGAGCTCTTTATGATAAAAGTGTTGACTCTAATTGTGGTAGCCTGTTATCACATGCAGAGCTCAACTTGAAGAATCACCTTTATATTTAGATTTCTTTTATTATAAGAAATGTAAGAGAACTGTCAACTTATTTGTGTTCCATCAGGCCTTCACTTTATGAATGGAGCAGTAAGATTCTGTAATTTCAAGTTATGTGTCTTAATTACTTGAGTCAATTCTTCCACTTAAGAATGATTAATTTTATGGTTCTAGAATAAAGTTTATAGTATTGTATTCTGAGTAAACAACTACTATGCACCATTGTGAAGAAAAAACATTTGAAATTTGTCTAAAACTTTAAAAGAGAAGGTGGTGCATATTCGCTTTCCCATTTTAAAATAAAAAAATGAGATATGTTTATAATGCATTCTAATTATTGCTTTAATTGTGTAAAGGCATTTCTTTTGAAGAAGCTCCTGTTTTCTTCGGAGAAGTCATCTTGGCGGGATTGCTCAGGTATAATTATAGCTATCTTTTAAAACTTTTATGCCATTCTGTTTTAAAGCTGATCATTGTCAAGTTTACTTTTCTAAGATAAAACTTTTCAATTAAACTATCAGTGGGATTTTTTTTCTGAGGTTCTTTTTTAAATGTTTCAGAAAGTTTTATGAATTGTAACTCCAAATTTTAAGACATTTGTTTCTGAATTCAGTTTTTCTATGATTAAGGGAAGTCCTTTTGGCCTCTTGCTAAAATGTATACTTCCTAGAACTTTTAGATACTAGCATACCATAAAGAATAGACATTTATGGGGTATTTCTTTTAATTATCTCTGATCAAGAATTCAGAATTATCTTTATTTCTGCTTATTTTAATATAATGCATTTTACAGTGCAAATACCGGAAATCTGAATTGAATTATAAATGAAGCTGTTAAACTGTCTGCAACCCTAAGTCAGAGATATATGGTGCTACCTGATAATAGCAGACATTTGCATTCCACTTGATAATTTACAGAAGTCTTTCCTTCATTTACACTATTTCATGTGAACCTCAAAATAATTTCTGAAAGAAGGTAGGATGTATCCCAGTTTTGTATGTAAGGACGTAACAGCTTCCCTTCCAAACTATGAACCTACTAATGATTTTTAATTTAAGAGTTAAGGTAGCATACTCATATATTTTTTATTAACATATAACTTACCAACATGCAGGTTATTTGTAAAGAAACTATCCAAGAGAATCTTATCAATATAATCTTATTAATAAAACGTATATTTCTTGCACAGAAGTATACTCACCTTGTTAATCTATAAAGCATTGTCATAAATATCATAAAGGCCGCGGTGGTTATAAATGGCACAGATCCTGCCTTTAAATAATTTTTAAGCAATTAGAAGAGACAGAAACCTGCTTGTGTCCCAAGACATTGTATAGAATGTGCACACATGTCCTATGTTAGAAAGATTCAGAAAATAGAACTACTTCTAGGGAATAACAATACCTGTAAAAAAGAGGGGCACCTAAGGTTCCGACAGAAATGATCAATCCAGCATAGGGCCGAAGGGTTGTAACCCTAGCCATTCAGGAGGCTGAGGCAAGAAGATTACAAGTTTGAGGCCAAGCTGGGCAATTTAGCGAGATCCTGCCAGTCAGTAGGGAGACAGATGGCAGACAGAGCTGGGAATGTAGCTCAGTGGTAGTGACCTTGAGGTGTAAAGCTCACTAAGCCCCAGTACTGCAGAAAGAGAAAAGAAAAGGTCAGAATGTGCTAATTTCAACAATCCTAATGCTCAGATTATCACAATATAGTGTCAGTAGCTTCTGTGCTATTGGGTGGCCTCTGAAAATGTAATGGTTTGTGGTCTCATATGTGCTGATGATGTCCCATCTCATTCTTGTGGAACAGGATGATCAATGACATTAGAATTCAGGAGTAGGGGACAATAGAGGTCTCAACAGGCTTTGATGTACTTGGTTCTGCAGTAAAGAGAACCTCATGGCTTAAATGCTACATTTGCAGCTTAAGATAGGGATGATCAGTGTCAGATTGCTCCAAATAGCATATTCATTCTTTCTCACAATGTTTAATTCTGCATGTTTTAGGATTCTTTTTCTAATCTATGGCAGTATATAAAGTGGGGGTATTTTAGTCCCTAAAGCACACTGTTTCACAAAGTGTATTTTACTCTCTGTTGTTTGTGGATTTTTTCCCTTCCTAAAATAGTTAATTTCCATCATTAAATCAAGACATTCTCAGTATTGTTGTTCGTGGGTGGCAGAATTGTTTTTCAAGGAAAAGGATTATAACTTCTACTTTGGTTGTTTTTAGAGGAAGAGCAGAAGGAACTCCTTTGTCACACCTTATGTGATATTTTAGAAAGCACCTGCTGTGACAATTCTGGATCATATTGTTTGGTTTCGTGGCTGAGAGGAAGGACAGCTGAGGAAACTGCTAGTATTTCTGGAAGTCCTGCAGAGTCTAGTTGCCAAGTGGAACACTCTTGTAAGATATGTTTTTAATTCATGAAGTGATTTCTTGTCTTTTTGTTTTATTAAACTACTGAAAATTTTGAAGAGAAAATATTTTTAAATTTTATCTCATTTTTCTAGCATACACTGAATTAATGACTTAATAATTTCTATTTATGCTTCAGTTATGTTAATTACTAGAAGATACTACATGTTTCAAAACAAGAAATGCATTTATCTCTTAGACTTTTGGAAAAGTTCTAGCTATCTTCTGCTTGATAACAATCTTTTGATTTTAGAACTCTTTAGAAAATTTAAATAACATAAATCTCTAAACATTAGTTTCAGATGTTTTAATGTTTTTCTTTAGTATTGGAAATAAAAGGGACTTTTGACATCAGTAAATTTCTTAAATATCTTTAGTTGCTTCTAGAGCAAAGATGGGGACATTTTTCTTAATTACACGCTGACTTTTTTGCTCCTGAAATTGTTGGACATTGTTATATATGTGGATTATTTTAAGGTAATTTTAATTATGATTTAATTTTGTCTTAAGTTTTATACGTTGATTGAAGACTTTTCTCTTTAAAATAAATAACAGCTATTCTCATGAATGAAAATTATACACTCTATTGTCTTTAATCTTTGAAAATTCTTACATGATTGACTAAAATCTGCCAGAGTATACTAGCAAAATGGAGGCTTCTGGTAGTATGGAATTTAAATAAGAGTTGTTTTTCTGACTTGCTTTTGAAGAACAATCATGGTAGTCAGTGATTTTTGACAGTTGGTAGTCTCAAGCCCTCATATTGAATAAATGACATATTCCACTTATAATATATTCCATTACCTATCATCTCTGTAAAAGTTGTTTTTAAAAAATTAGCTATCTGATTTTTAGAAAGTAAAGTTGGATTGCTTGTGATAGGCATCTTGCTTTCCATATAGGATTAGTAAGTTGCCATTGGCTCCCTGGGCTGAAATGTCCTCATGTTGTCCTTGTCTTCTCTCTCCTACCTCTGCATTTAAATGCCTTAAGCCTAGCAAACTCTAATACTGTATGTGCAAGAAGTAAAATTTAAAACTTAAACAATTGAATTGTATTTTTTCTCAGACTTTTCAAACATTGCCTTTCAAAAAGAATTTCATAGTTTAGAGTTGATAATGACATTTGAAGACAAGTAGAAAGCATTCACAAGGATGATAGTAAAACATGTCATTTAAGATGGATTTTAAAATATTTTCCAAGTTTTCTACATTGCATGTAAGCATGTTTAATAGTTCTATTTAGGATATTAAAATTTTGAGAGAGGAAAAATTAAATTATGTAAAAGATTTTAAGGACTATGTATTTAAAGCCAGTCCATATATTAATCTATGAAAAAATACTAAGATCTTTTTATGTAACATTTTCACTTGGAATCTTGATAGTATATTTTGTACTTACTATGGAATTATCTGTATTTTCTGTAGTGATAAACTGGGCTATATTAAATGATCCCATAATCCTTTACATTTGTTAACTTTAGTAACTAATTTAGATGGGCATATTATATTGAATTCCTCTCTGAAGATTATGTTGTAGTAATTTTCCAGTATACTTTGTGCCACATTTTAAAAGTTGACCTAACGCCATATTTGAAATCTGTTTTTAATTTTGTACATACTTAAAATATTCTAACTGAAAAAATGAGATTTTTACCTTAGATATTAACAAATGAATTGAACTTACATTAAAATTTTTATTCCATATAACAATCTATTTTACCTGTTCTTTTCTTTATTCCCAGCTATGTTCTTTTTTCTTGTGTTTTATTTCCTACCATCCTTGCCTGCTAAGCTTTTTATTTTGCTTGCCTCTTCTCTCTGAATTACTCTCCTTATGTCTATTTTCATGGTATTCTTAGTGAAATCGTTGAGATAATCATGCATTGCACAACAGTATAATTTAGAAAAGGCTAGACAGAATTTTTGTTTTATGCTGAAATTTTAAATGTCAAGTGTTTCCCTTCATTAATGTTACATTCTGTACAGACATTAATTTCATTGGCTGATGTGGTGTGTATATTTTTGGCTTGTTGGTAACGCACACTTGTTTGCAGTAGTGAATACTTGGGTTCAATTTCAGTTTGTTTCCCACATAAAAGATTATTTAAATTAACTGTTAGGACTTTTAAAGATTTTAAACAGTAATTTGAAACATTTGAAAATCAAACCTAACATTTGAAGGGCTGGCATAATGTGACATTTTAAATTGTAAGTAAAACCCGAGTTCGATCCCCAGTACCAAAAAAAAATAAAATAAAAAAAAAAAATAAATTGTAAGTAAAACAATCTTCACTATGAATTGTGAATGAATCAATCTCCTTAATCCTTCATGAGAATTTATCTTTGAAAGTGTGAAGATTTGCTTTATAAAATGCATGCGGCATTGTTGGTTGTGATAAAGTAGACATTTCAGCTGAGATATTAGAAAAGACTTTATCTTCCGGGAGCCAAGACTGAGTTTTAATCTCAGCACTGCTCTCCATCACTGTGCGGATTCTTCCCTGAGCCTCAAGCTCCCGGTCTATAAAATGGACTAAAGAGGGTTAAATGAAATCAGCCCTGCCAGCAGTGACAAAAGAAAGGTCTGGGACTCGTTGCAATCCCAGTAACCATCATCTTTGATTAAAATGCTTTCTTCTCTTTTCTTAAACTTTTAGTTACTGAAAACTTCTTAACAGTTACACAAATGAACGAGGAAACAAACTTGAAGCTGTCATTGAACCTCTGTAGTTTCAATGCTATGCCTTTTTGTACACATTTGTTTAATAATGAAGCATTAAACCTAAAAGGTTTATGTTCTAAAGGAGGAAAATTAGCTATGATGAGTTGACTGTATTTTAAAGTGCCAGACTCGTGTCAGTGATGTGTGACGCACTGACTGTCAGTAATTTCTCCTCCTATAAACTATACCAGCATACCTGAATTGAAAAGAAATGTTTGTTCTTCAGAACCCTTCTACATTCTCAGTATTAAACCCATTTTCGTTATAACTATGGTTAATTAAGTGGTCGAGATATAAATTCATGTTACAGTAAAGTTACAGATAAACTGAGAATTTTAAGGGAATAAGGAAACAGGGAAAATTTTGATTGCTTGAAAGTATTTACAGCCTGCTGTGTGTATCTTGTGTCATTTATTTGCCGTGTGTAGTGCTGAAAAGTGTCTTTTATGTATAGCTGCCTTGGCTGTCGAAGAGCTTGGCTTTGAGCGATTTCATGCATTAATTCAGTAAGTAACATTGGAACATTTAAAATACTTACCTTGTGGACACATTGCCATTTTGAGTCTGTTCATACTATGGAAAGGTTCTTAAATTTATATAGTACTGTACTACTTAAACCTGAATTTTAAATCCCTAGCTGGAGGATTAATTTTTCCAAATTAAAAAAAAATGGAAAGGCCGGGGATTTAGCTCAGCGGTTCCACCACCTGCCTCGCAAGCGCAAGGACCCGAATTTGATCCCCGGTACCAAAAAAAAAAAAAAAAGTCTTGCTTCCAAATTAAAAAAATAAAATTGTACACGTTTAATTATTCTAGCCCTAAATTAACTCCCAAGTACACTTTTTAAAGAAACATTAAAAGCCTGTTCATCATTACAATGAGAAAAAGCATTTTAGCTTAATGTTTTTCTGTCCTGGGTGAATATAAATATATCTGTTGGGATAAATATTAAAATTATTTCATATCTCAAAATATGCTTTCTATCATTTTTGTTAAAAGTACCCATGTTTTCATTGGAGGATTTATTTTTATTCCAAAATAAAAGGTAAGGATGTCTATGTTATTAGAATTACAGGTGGCATTTGTTTTGAAATTTAGCATTAGTTTCTTTTAAAAGAAGCCACAAATATATAAGATAGCATGAGCACACAGATATTTGAAAGGCTTTCCTGCTAAGTAGCCTTTCTCTTAATGGTGAACATTGTTTATAGTGGTAGTTGTCAGAGCTATAGTTTTTGCTTTTAATGGTTAAATTTGTACTTGAAAATTTGAGATACCTGGGAAAATCCCTTATGTTTATCTGTGTTAGTACATAAGATAATTTAAATTTTTCCCACTTATGAATGTAATAAATCTCATTATGATACTAATACTTAATTCTTTTTTCTCCCCCAGAAAAAGATCGTTCAGAAATTTATCAGAATTAAAAGATGCTGTTTTGGACCAGTATCCCATGTGGGGAAACAAATTTGGAGTCTTGCTGTTTCTGTATTCTGTCTTATTGACAAAGGTCTGTGTAAGCAGCTGTTTCTCCTACCCTTTGTTAGTTTAGTACTGTTTTTCCTGCTGTGATGTGGAGTAATTTTATTCCTATGCTGTTTCTAAATCTCAGAATAAAGATCTCTTATGTCAATAATAAGGAACTAACTCCACTTTCCTCTCTATTCACCTGTTATGTAACCACTTCCCAGCTGATTCTCACCTTTACTCTTCTGGTCTGTGGGTTTATCAATAATATCCTAAGTAAGAAAAGCTGTTGATTCTTCCAAATTTTATTTTCTTTGACCTTAGCAATGTCTGGAGCTCAAACTCTTAACTGCTTCTGGGAACACGTTCTAACCCCCAGTCCTTTCTTCACTTGTTTGATAAATCGTTGGCTAGTGCTTCTTTTTTTTTTGGTTAATATTGTCACTTTTTTCACTAGCCTCATTTCCTTTTTTATGTGTATCTTCGACTCTTTTCTATCCCCCTCTGAATTTTAGTGTTCTAGAACTTTCATTCCCTGGATATTATATATTATTTTGTTTTGAATATTTCATTCTCTCAGATCTTTCACTCTCCGTATGGCAGATTCCAACGTGTACACTTCCAGTCCGATATTTTCTTGCCAAATGCCAATCTCGTATCTCTCGTAGCCTGTTAGGCTCAATTGAATATCCTGCTGGATATACTGTATGAACTGAAACTTGTTCCTTTGACAAATATTTACTGAGCATTGACTTCATACTTTTTAATGTTTTATATTCAGAGTTGTACAAAAATGATATGTTAAAAATTGCAACCATTATGGAAGTTTTAGTGTTTTGGTGTGTGTGTTTTTTTAATATACACAGAATGATGGGAAAATAGAAGATAAGCCTAAGTTTAATGAGTGTAATCAAGGACAGACTTTATGTAGTAGCAACCATTTGGTAGGTCAGGGACTTGATGAATGAATCAGTTTTTCTTGTGGAAAAGTAGTAGGAAAATTTTCCTGGAAGTGAGAACAGCAAGTCTTAAGGGTCATAAGGCACTGGGGTATAACCAGGTTTGGGTAAAGAATTCAGTATTACTGCAGCATAATATTCTAGATGGGCAATTGTAAAGAATGAAACTGGACTCAAATCTCAGAATATGAAGGTCCTTGGACATTGTGCAAAAAGTACTTTCGGTTTCATCTGCTCAGAATTTAGAACTCAATAAAATTTTGAAGAAAGGAGTAACAGAATCTTTCTGTTGATAAAATATGCCTTAAACTAGGGTAAGAATTTAGAATGAAGAGATTTGGTATCTGGAATAAAAGTCTAGAGTCAGGGAAAGTAGAAAAGTCGGTATTGCCATAGGTAAACCTGAACTAGAAACGTGACTAGAATGAGGAAGAAGGGAAACACATTTGGAAATACAAATAACAAGAGAAATATACATATTTCTTTGTCTTATTAAATATAAACAGGAGAAAGAACCGAAGTACTTGGTAGCTGGCTATACTTTGAGAATAGCAATGATGGTGGCACCTTAGATGATTGTAGGATTTCTTCTTGACTGTATTGCTCCCAGTTTTTTTATGCTTGAAATTTTTGATACTTTGTCTGTTGTCCTGGACAGTCAGGAAACATGCTGGGTGTTTGTGCTCTTTGAAATGATACCCTTTCTTCCCCAGTGGTTGTGTCCCTTCTTCCTGTCAGCTTTCTTTGTGTTGTTATTTTCAAGGATGGCAAGTGCAAGATTGTTTACGCTGTTTACCCCAGCAACATTTAGGCAGTGATTAAGTATTTTCATTGTTGCATAATCAACTATTTAATCCCTAGGATAAAACCAGTGGTGGAAAGGGAGTGAATAGCACAATGAATGTCAGTTCCATCTAGGTCATTCTTGAGTTGGTGAAGTTAAAATTACCTACATTTTGTAATACTCATTCATTATCCAGAACTTTTGAAATTTGAGTGCCCTGTGGGGGGATTAAAATTGATCAGGAAACTGATCTTCAAGAAAAGAAACTTCTTGCCCTACTAATTTATATCTTACATTGTCAGTATACATTTGAATTATCAATACTTGAGAGAAAGCACAGTTGGAAGTAAACTTTCCATTTTCTTATGTACCATTTATATCTTTTGTGTATTTACATTTATGTCTTTGTCAGTACTCCCTTGTGTATGTATCTGCTACTGATGTGTTTTTTAAATGACTTGAAATAGTCAGTTGCCTTAGCAGGTAATATTATTTTTAAATTTAATTTAGCCTAAAGTTAAACAAATATCTACCTTTGTATTAAGTATTTTTCTCTTTCCTCTTGGAAGTTAAATATCTCTTTCTACTCCTTTAACCAATATTAGACTTAAGTACCCATGTGTCTATTAGTGTCCTTTATATAAAGCCCATGAAAAACAATAAAATATATACTTTGAAGAACTACATCTTACAGTTATCGTCTAAAATGCACCCACACTTCAAAAGTGGGTAATTCTTTAAAAGAAAAGTTACTTAAGTAATTATATTTCATACATTTCTAGTTTGTGTTCCATAATTCTACTTCAAGTAAATGAATTCTTGGTTTCTTCAGGGCATTGAAAACATAAAAAATGAAATTGAAGATGCAAGTGAACCTTTGATAGATCCTGTATATGGACATGGCAGGTAACTAAAATTTATTATCTCTTTTTGCTGGCTTTAGTTTTAGAAACTTGACTTGATAATCCTCAAAAAACTAGAAATAGAAATTCCATCTGATCCAACTATCCCCTTTCTAGGTATCTTCCCAAAAGAGCTAAGATAATCATATTACAGGGGTACACAGATACCTATGTTTATAGTAGTATAGTTTATAATAGCTAGATCTTGGAAACAGCATATATGTCCACCAGCAGATGAATAGATAAAGAAAACATGGTATTTATACAAAATGGAGTACTACTGTACCATAAAGAAAGATAAATTTAAGTCATTTGTAGGAAATTGGATGCAATTTGAGAACACAATGTTAAATGAAGAAATAGGTCAGACACACAAGCTTAAATATCACATTGTTTCCCTTATATGAGAAACTCAAAATATGTATACCAATAAAGCACAAAATAGAAGAAACATAAATAGGAAGTAGGGAGAAGTTTAAATAATTCTCCAAATTACCTATTCTGTTGTTTCAAAAAATATTTCAATGTATATGTTTGTTTCATTTCTACTTCTAGTTTCTCTTAGTTCATTGAAAAGAAATCTTTATGCTAGAATTCCTTTGTTTCTTGGTAAAAGGGAATCTTTTTTTTATCTATGTCTTGAACTCTGAGTAACTACTTGGAAGATAATGATAAACCATGTATTAACCATTGTTAGAAAAAGATAAAACACAGCTGAGTCAGGTGGTTTTTCTTGCCAATACTATTGAGAGCCTAATGTGTATAGGTTTGAATATCTTGTGCTTTATGCATTGCTTGCTTTATGCATTAAATGTTAATTTCCAGTTTAGGTTTAAGTATGCATTGCATTTATTCTGGTATTTTAAGGTAATAATGGAGGGGGTATTCTAAGAAAAATGCTTTGTTTCATTTATGAAATTGTTTAAAAGATGAAATTTACTTATGCCAACTGAGAAGTATGTTATTAACCCACTTTTCAATACTTTCCTCTGTAGAAGGAAAAACAAAATTCCATTTTCCTCTGGGACCACTGTCCCTCTCAAGCCTGTCACAGCTTATTTTTATTGAAATCAATAGACAATGATAGTTAATGTACTCTTATAGTGAGTCCTTCTTTGTAGACCTTTCTGCCTCACAGGTTAAAATTTACATGTCTTCCATCAAAAACAAAACATGTTATTAGTAACTATATATGTGTTTTAGAAGCCGATTATAAATATTAAGTAAATTATCAAAATATTGTTTATTTTTTCATCCTTTTAATTAATGGTATCTTAAAGTTGTATGATTATGTAAAATAGTAGATGCTTTTGTGATGATACATTTCATGTTTCATTTAACAAAGATGAGTATATAAAGTGGAAAAGGTAAGTTTTCCCCTTGTTTCATAATATAATTTAATGGAAAAAGTCATTATTTTAATGCCTTACCATAGGAATTACTTGAACATTGTTTTATTCATATTTTAATTACTTTTTAATTTTTATTAATAGCCAAAGTTTAATTAACCTCCTACTGACGGGGCATGCTGTTTCCAATGTATGGGATGGTGATAGAGAATGTTCAGGAATGCGTAAGTATATTCTTTGCTGTGGTTTTGTTCTTGGAGACAGGCTCTCGCTAAGTTGTCCAGGCTGGGCTTGAACTTGCGACACTCCTGGCTCAGTCCCCCAGAATGCTGGGACTACAAGCTCGTGCCCCATGCCCAGCTTTTATTGTGGTTATATCTTTGGTGGTTAATATATCATTACAACATAATTGATTATATTATCTTTTTAATGGCCCTACTTTAGAGCTTAAGGTAAGTGCTTCCTAATAGAAGATTCCACAACAGTTTTCGGTACTAAAATATTAAGAGCATGAATTTTTAGAGCCAGGCAATCTTGGGTTTCATTCCCAAGAGTGTACTGAACTTCTCGAGCCCTTTGTTTTCTCTAGTATGAGATTAGGGATTTTAGGACTAACATCTTTAGAGAGAATAATAAGTCTCTTAAAATAATAAACAGTACATATTTATCCAGAGACAATGTAGAGTTTGTTGTATAAAATTGAGGAAAATTACAAATCAAATAGTGACTTGAAACATTTGCTTAGAGAATACAGTGAGTTTGCCTGTGTTACTTTTAATATGCATAATTTTCTTTAAACTGCTGGGATAATTTAATGTCAGCTGAGACTTAAAATACTTAAACTCCATCACCACTTTCTGATCTCAGTTACTTCTTTTCTGAAACTTCTTATGTCGCTATGAATGTTGAAGAGAAATACATCAACCATTCTATTCCGTTAAGGGGAGCTGATATACAACAGTGAATAAAATTACTCTGGCTATTCCTGGCTCAGTCTAAATTTATTTGTTTCCTTGCTCAACCTATACTAACTACTGTGTACCTCTCACTGAAGTGTATAATATAGTACACAAAGCTCCGTAGTTACTATAGTTCACAAGGAAAAATTATCCTATAATTTTTTGCTAATTTATACTTAGATTAAACCATCATAAAAACAATAAATATGACTGAGAAAATAAGCTACTACTCTTTGCTCCCATTTAATTGATTATTGATCTTCAATTTGACTTTTTCTTGCATTTTAGAAATATGTATAGTTAATTAGCAGAAACATGAAGGAATAAAACGTTAAGAAAAAAAATCAGTAAAAATTATGGAACTTAAAAGGCATCGTAGTGCTGTCCAACTCTTCATTTTACTGTTTCAGAAATTTAAGAACTAATTTCCTCTCTATATTATTTAATATTTGCAAAATTATTCAGTGAGTGATAAAGTTAGAATGAGAACTTCAGTTTGCCAATTTCTGGTAAAGGTCAAAATGTAAGCGGTGAAATTCATGGACAAAACAAAGCAAAACAAAAGAATCTCAGGTTATTCTGCTTTGTTTTGTGTAATTAAGTGCATCCTATTCTTGAAATTTTTTTATGATTCATAGCTGAAAGAATGGGATCCTCCCAGTGAAAAGAATCTCGGTTTCTCTTGGGTAATACTCAGGTTTCTCTGGTCTCACCCCCTCTCGCCCCTCTTTCTCCTTCTCCCAATGGTTTCTAGGCTCTGAAGTGTATCATTTCAATCGATTAGGGAAGGAACATCTGTTTCTTACTGAACTTGGTTCTCTACCCATGTGGCCTCTGTCCCTGTTACCTCCTCCTGTGTGCTATGGCCATAACTCAGCCACGTTATTCTGGCACACACTACTAATTGTTGTGGTCCATTTTTATATTCATCTGAGTTTCTGCCAAGCCTGTCCTACTCCCACAATGCACTTCTCCTTCCTCGCCTTGGGCTTCTCACCACACATCCTCTGGGTTCCATAGGCTCTTCCTCTTGCCCCGAAGTTACTGCCTTATTGAAAATGTAAGTCATTTATTAAGTTTTGGCTCTTGATATATACAAATTTATCTTTTCTCTTTCTTGAACTATTGCCTTTCAAGGCTGTCATCTTCCTGTAGATACATGATAAGTAAAAGTGGTACTTCAGTTCCTGAACTTAATTCCACAATTCTGATTGCAAACTAAATAAATTTCCCTATAAGGTCAACATTAAACCTAATCATTGAATATGATTAGGTTCTCTTCCAATTCAGTTTGCAACCAGAATCATGGAAAGAATTAAGTTTGCAAACTGAAGTACCACTGTAGTTTAAAGATCAAAACTAAGCACTGACTTTGAAATAATTATTTTAGAATAGAAAAGAAAATAGAATATCTTTTTGGCATTTTTCCTCAGTCATGAGGAATGTTGACTTGAAGTTGAATCTATTTTCACTTAACTAAACTTAAAAATCTGTACATTCATTCAGCATTTATTGGATTTATTTCCTGCTCTGGCAACATGGTAGGGGGTGTGTAATATTAAAAAAAAGTATAAACAATGCTAATTTTAAAATGCATAGGCAAGTTGCTTTATTTCTTTCGGTGTCAGTTTCCATCTTTATAAAATATGGAAGTAATACTGTCCTCAAAGGGTTGTTGTGAAATTAAGATCAGATTTCTAAAATGCCTACAGTGGCCAATAGGAACAACACAGTTTTCCGTCAAGTGGTTGTGCACTTGGGTTAGAGAAAGCAGAAAATGTACCCAAATACCTATGGTTCACGGGCAAATGAAGCATGTTGAAATAAAACGCCAGACATATTCAGAGGACAAAACGTTCAGAGGAAGGAGGAAACTTTCCTACTGTGTTATGCCGGGTAAATAGACTTTAAAAAGGAGTTCACATGTCAATGGAACCATGTGCAATGAACAGCGGAGCACTTGAAGAAAAGTACAGGTTATGTTTAGGAGTAGCCAGGCAAAGCAGTCTGAGCAGAAGAATGGTTCTTAATTCTGACTGTGTAACACCATTTGGGAAGCTTCAAAATACAGGACTACTCAGACCCCAGCTGAGAGCAGTGAAGTTAGAATCTCTAGGTGGTGGGCTATGGGTATATATTGTAAAATTCCTCTCGGATGGTTCTGATGTTCAACCAGGTTTGAGAACCAGTGAATTAGAACCCTGGATTTCTGACAAACTATAAAAAAGAAAGATTATCAACATAGGATTGGGTAAGAATTCAGAGGCTCTTGAACACTAAGAAGTTTAAACTTTAATTGGCAAGTATTAGGAAGAGAGTCATTAAAGGTATTGAGCAGAGAAATGCAGACTTGTGAAGCAGAAGCAAGTTTCAGTGCAGTCACCAATTGAGAGCTGTAGAACGTAGCCTAAACAGGTGAGAGGGGGACATGATGATAATAGCTACCTGCCATTCATGCACTTTGAAAAAAGAGAAACTACTATTGATGTACTTTATGCCGAGCAGTGTGTTTTAGATAGGTATGTTTACACTCAATTTTGTTAAGAAAACTGAGGCTTAGAAACTTAGTAATTTGCCTAAAGTCAAATAACAGATATTCATCTCTTCCTGCTCACTTCGTTCACATAATTATCCTATGCTCATTATTCTCATTTTACAGATGAAGAAACTGAAGTACCAAATGGTAAAGTATCTTGCTTAACTTCACACAGTGTAGTAAATAGACCTAAGATTTGATCTATGGTAGTATGATTCTATAGAGCCAGCGTACTTAATCATTACAATTTACACTGCCTTTTGTACTGCATTTCCTTCCTTAGTGTAAAATATGTACAAGGGCTGATAAAAAAAATTCTGTATGCTTACTTTAAAAAGAAATGATTACAGTTAAAGACATGTTTCTCTATAGATTAGCCATTAATCTCCCTGAAAATTCACTCACTTCAAACACACCTATCCCATCGTTCTTGCCACTTTCTGAAGCAGTTCTGGAAGTCCTCTTTCATGAGTGTCCTTATGTGGTGTGAGCAAAAATTTGGTGAATTCAGCTACCCAGTGCCATCCAGTGAAAAGGTAGACTCCTAAAAACAGTGTGTCATCATCTACCTTCCTCACTGTATCACGCACCATGTGACCTCTGGCTCTTCTCCAAAGTCAAAATGACCATGAACGATAAATGTTTTGAATCCATTCAGGACAAGGAGGCAGCCACAGCAGAGCAACCAAAGACAAAAGAGAACTTCTAGAACTGCTTCAGAAAGTGGCGAGAATGATGAGCTAAGCGTGTTTGAAGCAAGAGAGAGTTTTTTGAGAGAGATTAATAGTACAGTGAACCCTCCAGTTACAACTTGGCTGACATTCTAACAACTTGGGTTATGACCAGTATTTCAATTTTAACTTACGAACGAAGTCTTGCGTTATGACCTGAATGCTGGCCTCTTGTGCTTTCAGATGGTCTCAGATACAGATTTAATCCTTAAAGAGTTCTGAAAGGAATATTACAGCATCCTTTCCTGTGTGGGGTTAAATTGAGAAATCCTGGCCCAATGTCTGTCTAAGGACACTGAGATCAGCCTGTACACAGGAGAGAGACTTTCAAGGCTGTGGAGAGAGACTGAATGAAGGCTGTGCCTGAGCCTTCAGTTGACCAACTTGAGTTACAACCAGGCCTTAGGAATGAATCGACTTCATAAGTCAGGGGTCCACTGTAATATGCCTTCTACTGTCTTGAGTATTTTTAGATTTAAATATTTATTTTTTTAATCACACTTTGTATGTGGGGTAACATGGAAGATGTTTATCTTATTTAAATTTCACGGGAACCCTGAGTGTTAGATTGTTGTGTTATAGAGAAAGAACTGAAGTTAATGATTTAATCCAAAGATTCGTGTCCATGGTAAAGAATAGGTGAATGAGCCATGAAATGTATGTCACTCAAGGGGAATGAGGCCTCAGAAAAAGCTATGAATTTAGTAGTTAGCAAGATTTTTTTTAAAAGAACAGGTGTGATGGCAGCCAGATCATAGGGAGTAATATTTTAGAAATATAGGTAATGAAATTGTCTTTGCCTGGTAACAAAGCCAAGAAGTGGAGTACATAGGTTTTTTTTTTAAGGGTTAGAAGTTGCCTAAATTGCTTAAAACCTAGGAGGAGAACCACTTTTATAAAACTAGTAAACGGGGTAAAGATTAGCAGTAGTCTTGGGAAGATGAAAATTTTTTAAAGAAATAACAGGCTGAAGAAAGATAAAGGCAATTTGATGTGTG